TTCTGTGTGACACCAGATAAAACCTCTTTTGTTTATTGTTCAGTACTGGTCCGCCATTATTCATTTAAAATTACCAACCACAATATGAATAATCATTGCCGTGAAGATTTCGGTGATTTTATTGAACGCGACGGTGCGCAATTTCCCATTCGGTGGTTGAGTATGCGTTTTTAATTTTCTTTTATTTAGGCACTTCCCAGGCAACCCTGATGGTTTCACGCTCAGACCTGTTGCGGTGCACGATGTGTGTAAGGCGTGTCAACGCTGGAATACTGGCGTACCAGCCACAATAAATCCCAGCTCTGTTTCGCAGGATAACTGAAAAGTTAAAAAAAAATTCATGCGTTATTGCCGTGTTTCTTAACTCTCTTGAGCCCCTTCGCGACAGTCTTTTTTTTTTATCAATCTAGCTGATAAACGTGTTTGCGACTCCTCTTTAAGCGTTTGTATTCCCCAAGGCAAGGTTTATGATTGTCCACGCTCATTCCAACTTTGTCGCCTTGATTGAGGCTAGACATGGGCAGCCTCGTCAAGGTAAAACAAGGAGTCATCAAATCGCCTTCGGGTTACCTATGGCATAAGAACCCTCATCTTCTCGGTAGGTTTCTGTGAATGCCCGGGAAAGCGCAGGCTGTTGCACTCTACGAACTGGAGGCCGTGGTAGAACCTCCGCACACCATACTCGTCCTCAGAAACTCGGCCATTTTCGTTTTACTCTTTGCTTTTAGCTCAAAGATGCGTTGTGTTTTTGTTTTTTTTAAACAACGTTTTACTTTTTTTTGTGGAAATGTTAGACAAATATAACCGGGCAACTACAACTGCGCCGTTTAGATGAATCAGTCAACGTTCAATCATCTCACCTGCCATGTAAGGCCCATTCCGGCAGAAGCAGCCAGTGCATATCTTCGCCGAGGCCAGAGTTGGCGGTCTATATCGTTGTTTGGTACTGACCGCATTGAAGGCACTGCAGTTGCAGAGATTCTTCACGCGTACCGAACGCCATTTCGTCGATGGCACCCTTCATCTTTGCCTATAGCGAAAACTATTGGCGCAAGGGTACACCTTTGAGAGGTACTGATCTTGTTTGGTAGCACGTGCAGCAAAAGCAGCAACCGAAGCTCCGAGCTCGGACTCGCAGTCCTCACTTCGGTCAACGGTAACCTTGGGATTTTGAGCCCGATCCGCAAACTAACCGCGGAACTGCGGATTTCTTAGTAATGACGTCAAGGTCACGTGATACGCACATGTCTATAATCCGCGGACCTGTTTTTTTTTTTTTTTTTTTTTAGTTGTTTAACTGTCTGAATACACCTTTCAGGGACACATCATCATGTCTAAAAATTTAACTGTCTGAATACACCTTTCAGGGACGCATCATTTAAACCAAAAAGGGTGCGAAAATGTTTACTCTGGAGAGTACCGAGCGAAATCTCGTCCATAGTGGAGTCAGTCTCACCTCTAGTGCGAGATTTTTTTTTTTATACCTTCGACAACAATCAAAGTACGAGTGAAGGCACCGAGCGAAGACTGGTACAAGTGCTCATGTTTATTCTGCCACCGACTAATACGATCAAATATATCACCTTTATTATTCATTACTTTATAATTACCACAAAATAAAGTTCCGATGTGGGGGCTCTGCTAAAGCTCTCTAGTAACAATTTTAGCCAAGATTTACCACCATGCCGTTATTGATGCCGCCGTGACGATCTACCCGGGAACACACCACGAAGAAACCATTTCCACAGCCGTCCATCTTGTACACCCATTTTTCTTTCAAGCAGCGCCGTATGTATTAACGATTAGAGGAAACATTTCCTTTTTGGGTACCCGACCCGGTTTCAGCACGGTGGTAACAGTAACAGAACAGTGGTAACGCCACGCTAAAATTGGCGTTGTCTAGTGCCCAACCACCAACATAATCATTGATAAAACAAGATTGTGCTTGATATTGGCGGCACCTGCTGGCGAAACAAATCCCAATGGCTGTCAGCTGTGTGTTCTCCGCTTTCCGCTCGGCGCAAAACGAAGAATTGAGAACTGTCGTATTGATTGAATTCTCTCTTGACTCAACAATGGGTCCTGCGTCATACGCAGAAAGAAAATGCGAAGCTCTCATTTCCGCATTTGATTATATTTTATATTTTCTTTCTCCGTATAATGAAGTCCTTTACGTCCTTCCTTTAGAATATTTGTCGTCATAAAATCTACCTTTACAAACAAATGGACGTTGAAATATATTCACTTGTGTCCTTTTTTACGCATCTCATTCGCACGGTGACAATAAAATTAAAGATATTCCTGGAAGCTTGATTTCCTCGAAACTTTATTTAGTCATCTATGTTCGAAGTATTATTCAAAGAAGCTTATTTCGGCATAAAATACTGAAACAAACGTTATACCGGTAATTGTTCTCGTAAAAGAACAGAAACAATAGTGTGTAATTTGCAAATCCGTGACTACAGGTTCTCAAATTGTTTTGCGAAGCAATAAATTAACATTTTTTTTAAATATATACATTTATTTGTTGCCGCTCGGCATCGTTTGTTCTCAATGCACGCAAAAATGACAGAATTTGGCTTGATATATGTTCAGCAAACAGTGACCGGTAGATAATTAAATTTCTGTTACCCCGGGCAGTGAAGCCTGCATTTGCTTGGGGCTAAGGACAAAGGTGTCGAGAACATAGTCAAAATATCGCGCGTTGAATTGCCTCCATAGATCTACAGTGTCCGAGACATATAATATCGGCCCTAGAACTATACTTCTAGTATTCCTCGGGAAAATGTTTAATTTGACAAAAAAAAAAGTGAAAATATACGTGTTCCTCTTATTTTGTCCCATGCTTCAAGGTGAGTGCGAGTGAATTGCTTAATGAAGCAACCTTTATTCGTTGCTCTCGAGCCTTTTTCTTGGTGAGTCGCTGAAGCACCTTTGTGATTGAACTCTTCCCATCAATGTACGTGTCTTTGCTAAGAGCTTTGCGCCAAGCGATTTTCTACGATGCGCACCAGAACTAAACCGTTTGTCTTTGCCTCTGAAAACAGAGAAGTAACGCTAAACTCCCTCTTCCAGCCTCTCTACTCCTGGTTGCATGACACCATCTTTGAGCGAAGGCACCGCGAGGAGAAATATTTTAAAGAATAATTCGCGTTACTGTTGTATGTGGGGTGCCCAAAGTTAATCTTAGGACGTAAAACGAGCCGGAAAAATGGGCGCTTAAACAAAGGGAAGTAAAATGTTCGCGTAATTCGCTTTGAGCTGGTTGTTTTTACCTTGTGAAATTTCAAGGCGTAGTTGTCTGCCTGTAAAACATGACAAGCAAACTTTACGAAGTAAACGGTGGAAGTGTTCGCAGACGACCGATTGGGCGATAAATGGAACTTGTGGCGTCATCACCTGAAAAGAGCAGCGAGCAGACGATGAACTCTGTCGTCTGCTAGCTGCGCCTATCGGGAAATAATGTTGCGTATATGTTTCTACAGCCTGGAACTTAGTCTGTCTCAAAGGGCGACTTGTCTCCCAGCTGCAGATGAGGAATTTAGCCAGTGCAGTACAACCACCAACCTGGGGTCTTTAGCGTGCGCCACGCAGTCGTGATACACGACCGAACGCCGGTACGATGCTCATCCAGATCGAAACGGGGGGGTTAGGTGGCCGAGTAGGCTACCGCACACCAGCTCGGAGCACGTGGAGCGAAAGATCGCGCTGCAAAACACAGGATGCTGGGTTCAATTTCCACCCCTGCCCGTTTCGATCTGGATGAGCATCGTACCGGCGTGCGTTCGTGTATCACTACTGCGTGATGCACGTCAAAGACCCGAGGCTAGCGGTTGTACTGCATTGGCTAAATTTTTCATCTACAGCTGGAAGACTCGTCGCCTGTTGAGGCAGACCAAGTTCTAGGCTGTATAAGCATACAATGGACCCAATTTTTTCCCAGATCAAAACGGGCAGGGGTGGGGATGGAATCCGGAGTACTGGGTTCTTCTGCGCGAGCTTTCGCTCCACGTGCTTCCAGCTGGTGTTCGCCAGAGCCGTATCGTGTGCCCACTCGGCCAACAATCCCCCGCGCCTATCGGGGTGCGACGCACAAGTTACATTAATCGCCAACTCGGTCAGCTGCAGACACGTCTGCCGTTCACTTTAGCAAGTTTGTTTGTCTAATCCTTTTTCGGGAAGAGAACAGCGGTTTGAAATTTTACATAAGGTAAATCCTACAACCTCAATGCACATTTGGCTGGAGTTGGAGGTTTTTATCTGGAGGCACGCTTTTTGCGGCTTATTTTACAGCTTAAAATCGACTGTGACCACCGTACATATGAAGGGTACTTACCAAAAACAAGCATAGATACATAATCCGCACATGTTGGGTACAATTCAGTTCCCAGCTCAAATCTATTGCAAGACTGACGTTTCACTTCTGCTTTCGTTTTCACCAACGAATGTGTTCTAACTTATAAGGCTGACTTCCACTACATGAGCTTAACGTTAAAATATAAGTAGGGTCTCGGCAAACCATCAGTCGACCGCTAAATGTGGCGGGCGCCAGCCAGGTTTATCGGATTCCCAAACTCGAAAAAATCGACAAATAAGGCCTCATGAGTGACGCAGCTCACGCGCACGCGGCACATATACATGTCTCCTGACCTTATCCCAGTACGATTAAGACACATCTTTTTTTCCAACATACTTTTACAAACCAGGAGTTTTATAGCTCACTAAAATACGCGTGGTGAATGATGAATTGAACAGTCACCGACGGGGCAAAACGGCATGCAGGGAAGTCTGAGTTGGTCTGCCTCCAGCACGAGCTTTGTTCCTCCGATAACGCCTCGGCGTCTGGATGTCTCGTGACCTTCGACGTGCACGCGCAGTGAAAGCACGGTGGAGGGTAACGAGCGCGTCATGGAGGTCGCACATACGAAAGAGATGCTCTGCCGTCCACATCTTCTCCGTGATTACGATGTCGAGAGAATTAACCCAAAACGTCACGCTACCTGACGTTGTTGTGACGCTGGACGTAGAGCTCGTGGAAACGCTGACGGCTCCGTTTGGTCGATGACTGACAGGCGTCCGCCATCTTGAGCATGATGCTGCGCTTGACTTCTGCAGCGATGTATGCCGGGATCACGCTCAGAAGCAGCTGTTCCTGCGGGGAACGGTGGGACGTGAAAACATTTAGGGGTCGCGTCCACCCCGTTGAGGAGAACTACAGCGATTGATTCAGCTACGCTCAAAGGAACGACCCTAGAGCAAACTTGGGACCTAACATCGTTGTGCCAGTTACCTTAAACTTTATTTGAAATAGCAGAAAATAATATATTTCGTCCCTCAGAAGCGTGTAAGCAGTCAGCTAAAGACGTAAAACGGTGCCGCCTGGAGCTTCCTAACAGGTATGTAAAACACAGGAAGACGTATTTTTGAACCGTAACGATCACCACAATACAAACATTTCAAAATCCCATCATGCAACGTGTGCGGTCGCCATTTCTTGGGAAGGGCATGATTGTATCCGGGTGCTTGCCGACCTCTGACACAGTATACTCGTTTTCAATACGAGCTGATTCGAGTCACGCCGAGCATTGACGCAGCCCATGTGTCTAATACGTGATCGGAGTACGTGCACGACCAATGGGGCAGGTTGGAGAATAGACTGCTTTTAAAAATCCGTACAAGCAACACTGCGCACATTTCACCATTAACTCGGTTGCGTACTTGTAAACGGTGGGCAGTACGCGACATGGTAACGGCGCTCGCGCCGGATTGGCTGCTCCTCGAAGAGAATGCTGCGTAGTACGATGGCTGCGCTGGCCGGCAGTCGGCGTTGCGTGTATATCAATAAAGGTATGAGGTAAGGCTCTTATGTAGCTCGTATTTAACAAAATTAGAATTCCCGCTGTGTGTGAACTGACCTATTGCAATTCATAAAATTCAAAAAGAAAACCCCCTCATGATAGCAACTCTTCAGAAACTTTAAAGGGATACTTCAACGAAATTTGAAATATACCCGTCGTGTTTACAAATAGGCTGAACATGATCCACAATATCCGTGAATGGCAATCGCACGTTTCTATTTTGAGCCTGGCGGCTGTATTATTCGTTATAAAGGGCCCCCTCTGGCAGACGCTCGGAGAGCAGCTAGCGGAGAGCACGTCACATCCGCCGCAATCGTGACGTAGTTTGCCTCGGGACCTTACGTCCGGTCGCAGCGGGCGCCCTGCGAGCTACCCCAGCCAATCCCGCTCTGTGGACGTAGCCCGTAATACGCTTTGCGCGCTTCGCTGTGCCCCCCCCCCCCCCCCCCCCCCCCCGAGGTCACGTGAGATTCACACGGCCGTGGATAGGCGCCAATGGCTCGTAGCATCCGCTGAAAGCGGCCGAAGCACACCAGTGATTGGGCGCCACCGCAAGTAACCCCAAAGCTGTCTTGGTACGAATTTTGAATGACGGGTTAATGTAGAGGGACAATAGCGGCTTCTAGGACACACAAAAGAGAACGTCTTGGGGAGGGGGAAGTTCCTCCTTCAGCTCTACTTTCGTCGTGGCCGGAGGCGAGACAGTTACCGTCACTACCTTTCCATGCTCTTAGACGGGCATTACAAACGAGGCGTTAACGACATCCGCCAGGTGCTCTTTGCTAATCGTTTAATTCGTTTTAAAATTCCTTTTCGTGTCTTTTTTAACAAGAGATTGGTGTGTCTGATGTGATAACGCTCCACTGAACACGAATAGACCAAGAAATAAGCGCCGAAATTTCGTTGTAGTATCCCTTTAAACTATCTTTATAAAACACCAATAAACTAGCAATTGATAACATTGCTCTAACTTATTTTGTTTGACGGCCATATAACTGTCTTTTTAGACCTTAGATATTCCGATCTGTTAAAATTTGAAACCTTAAAACGGTAGTGAAACGATTTCTAGACTTCGGTAAAAAATTTGTGGAAGTTGCCCTCTGACACTTCTGAAGTAAAGAACATGAAACCGATTTCGGCTGCGTGTCATAATTGTTGTCTAAGAAAAATATAAATATGTCATTTCTGGCACCCCTCGAGTCACTCCCAGTCTTCAGGGTCACACCTGGTCGCACCCCTAGCGAAGTAATTTGGGCTGCCGTGTAGGCTCCCGTGTGCTCTCTCAGAAGACGCTTCCTCTCCCTCTCTCTGCTGACATTAGCGGACGTTATGCTGCAGCTTAGAGCCGAGCGAGGTCACGTAAGCTTTTCGCTGTAGTTCCTTCGGCTGCCCCTCGCGGCTGCAGGTGGGGGAAAAAGCTCGACATTTGTTTTGCGATTATGCAGCGAAATAGCAACATTTTATTAATGAAGGAGAGGTTTTCTCTATCCTCCGGGACACTATAAACCATAGGCGTAGACTATGGGGGGGGGGGGGGGGGGGAAGGCATCAGGGCTCGTGCCCCCCCCCCCCCCCCCCCCCCCCCGGGCCCGGGCCATGATCCTTACCGAGACGCCGTTTACGTGCCATGTAACGAACCTCTAGTAGCGGCATGTAAACAATATAACGCCCACGTTGCCTTTATTAACAAAATACACGGGAAATGAAATGCCAGCGTGTTTTCGTTAGCTTCAATATCCAGTTCTGTCGAGAAGGTAACGCGCAGCACCCCCCCCCCCCCCCGCCCCCCCCGGGAAAATGGAAAGTCTACGCCGCTGCTATAAACAACGTAAAAATAACGAGATACAAGGTCTTTTAATGTCAAAGTTGTTGCACCCCCTCCCCCTTTTTAATCAGAAATCAGATCACGAAATCAGTACACATACATACACTAGCTGAGATTGCCCAGGCTCGCGGATTTTAAATCTAAGTTTAAATATGAGTTTTTTTTTAATAATATAGCAATACATTATTCCTAGTTACAGGAGATAAATAAAATTTAGACGTAATAAACTATAATAAATATAAACTACAAATAGTTAAATACACCGGGAATTCATACATATTTCGGTGGGTATCGCGGTGCTTGGCCCTCCTAAGTTTAAAAAGCTACAAAATTTACGTAAATACATAGATCACATATTAATATTAGACACGCTAAAATATAATATACATATAATGATTCGTAATTTCGAGCTCCATATTATTTTCTCCTAAACAAGACACTTTCAAGAGAAAAACATGGATCACCCTCGTAGTCCTCTTCCAAGATTACCATAGGGCACAGACCATGAGAAAGAGAGAAAATCAATATTTAAACTTCAAAACAGCGACAATTTAATTTATCATACATGCTCGAATGTGCTTTCTGGTCCGTTCCTGATCCCGTGGTTTTGATGCCCCAAGTTTTTCTTTTGAATTCGCTTTTATAACAGATTTACTTTTTGGACAAAGGACCCTATTCATTTATTTTTTATTGGTTTAAACCTGTTATGCCGTTTAACGGTGGAAACTGAAACACTTTTTTTTTATATGCTCTCACTAAAAAATTGTAATTGTCGATGTGGGGGACGTTGCCGTTGCTTCACCTGACATTTAGCGGAAGAAGACTGAGCTGTGCTGCGGACTACCCGTGCTGCATGCGTTTCGGAAGGCATCAATGAACGGTAGGCACGGCATACGTGCGTCTACAATTCCGTTATAATCGGCGTTATATTTTTGTTTTCTGAAGGGTTTTCAGACGTGTTTGGCGTTATATATATCCAAACAGCTCAATCCTCTTATTCACCGCCGTTTCAGCCACAGCACAACATGTGTCCAGAGTTAATGGAAGATTGATATAAAAACATAATCTATTGTTTAATTGTTACGCTTAATGGCGGTGTCTTTTTAATCTCCTATAACCCCGCTTGGCAGTATCTCCGGGCTAATTATGTTTATATAATATATTCACATACATATTTTTTAATCGAGGTTTTGATTATCTCTACTACAATTTTTATAGCTTTGCGATTCTAACAGAGTAAAAATCCGACAGTGGCAGCGAAGCTTCGTGCTTTTACCAGGGCAGATAGCTGTTCAATTTTTCTCAAGAAGCACGAAATGCAGTGCGTCAGCTATTCTTGAGTGCCTCGATTGGAAGGGTATTCAGCGCGGTGGACGACATCTTCTTTTAGAAACGAGGAATTACGTCTGACGAGACATTCGAGAGCCAGCTGTTGCTCAAGGACACAAAAGTGATTGGGGGCAACTATGAATACTTCCATAACACTCTCTTGTTTTTGTCTTGCCCTGGGACAGTGAGGCGGAAAGTAACACCGCGAAAGTAACGGATTACTTTTTGTGGAAAGGTAATTGTAACTGTAATTAGTTACAATTTAGCCTGGAGTAATTGTAAATGAAATTACTTACTATTTTTTAGTAACGTCTACACGTCGGATCGCGATAACTAACGATTCCCTGGCTGTGGTCTGCGGACAAGGACCATCCTGCCTTCTGTCAACTAATTGCCGGTCGTTGTCGCTCCGTTCATGCCAGCGAATAATCGAAACATTTCCAGAAAATACCGCTCTGCGGGACTTAAAAAGCAGTCCGTACAAAAAGGTCGGTTGTTTCATTTGGGTCTCCGGCACGCAAATTAGGATTAGTGCAACTCCACATTCGTGCGGTAAGATATACGGTGAGTTGGCATTCTTAAATTTGGCAACCCGCATTTTATAGATAACATAGAACAAACTTTCATGGGGAAGCCGGTCTGAATAGACCCTTTTCGAAACCTTGTCGAGCAACACTGGGGTTCGCCATTTTCTTGGGAATAATGCGTGTGATTGGATCCGAGTACCAGCAGAACACTGACGCAGCCCTCGCGTCCAATGCAGGCTAGTGTATGCGTGCCCAAACAATGATGAACTCAAATAATTGACGCAGCAGTTACTAGATGGCGCGCACTTTCGAAAAAAGGGTCTCAATTATGGTTGGACTGCAAGGCCCGGAGCTATTTCAAGTCCTCGTGCCGGCGACCGGACCTGCGATAAATACTGCTAGAATGAAACTCCTCCATCACATCAAAGCACAACTCTAAAACCTCGGACGAGTAAACGTTGGGACCTCGACGTCACGTGACCTGACGTCATGCGACCAACTAAATAATTGATTCTTACCCGAAATTTAGGAAAGGGAAAGAAAAATTAAGACGTTTACAGTTCTCTGTAATTCCGAATTAGAGCGCAGCTCTTGAGGAGGAGGAGGGGAGAGTACTGAGGGGAGGGTATGCGCCTCCTCCCCCTCCGTATTCTACCCTCCTCCTCTCCTGGTCCCCTTCCATACAGCGAGAAATTTTCGCTAATTTCCCCCGCTAAATTTAGCGGGGAAATTCAACAAAATGTTTCCAGCTAAATGTAGCGGGGAAATTGAATTGATGTTGAGGTCATGTGACGTCATCTTCCCTGCTAAACATAGCGGGAAAACATAACCCGCTACATTTAGCGGGAAAATATTCCCGCTAAATTTAGCGAGAAAATATCCCCGCTAAATTTAGCGGAAAAATTTCCCCGCTAAATTTAGCGGAAACATTTCCTCGCAAAATTAAGCTGGGATACTGAATTGGTGGTGAGGTCTCATCACGTAAAGTTAGCGAGAAAATATTTCCGCTAAATTTAGCGAGGAAACCAAATCAGTGTTGAGGTCACATGACGTCAATTTCCCCGCTAAATTTAGCGGGGAAACTTAACCCGCCAATTTTAGCTTGGAAAATTCCCCGCTAAATTTAGCAAAAACAATTTGCCGCTAAATTTAGCAGAGAAGTTTCCCCGCTAACTTTAGCGGGAGAATTTCCCCGGTAAAGTTAGC